TCATGTTCGAGTATCACGATGCTCCTATAGGAGGTCATCGTGGCCGGGAGAAAACATATCTCACGGTAAGTCGAGACTTTTACTGGCCCCGCCAGTATCAGTTTGTGCGAAACTGTGTTCGCGCATGCGAAGTCTGTCATCGAGTGAAGTCAAGTCCTTAACTGTGTGCACCTTTACAGCCCCTACCGGTTCCGGCTGAGTGCTGGGAATCCATCTCAATGGATTTCGTCTTCGGGTTACCCAAATACGCACGCGGGAATACGGGTATTCTCGTATTTGTTGACAGATTCAGCAAAATGGTACACCTTGTGGCTGTACCAGAGACAATCACGGAAAGTGGCTGTGCTTGTGTCTTTATTGACACCATCTTCCGACTTCATGGGTTGCCCCGTGAACTCGTATCAGACAGAGATCCACGATTCACTGCTGATTTCTGGCGTTCCGTGTTCAAATCACTCGGAACGCGCTTGAAGATGTCGACATCTGATCATCCAGAGTCAGATGGTCAGACGGAACGTGCCAATCGTGTCCTTGAAGAGATACTTCGAGGATACGTACACTCCTTTAAGAGTTGGAGTGAGTTTTTACCAATGGAAAAGTTTGTCATTAACAACTCGGCGCATGCGTCCACGACACATACACCGTTTTACGTAAATGGCTTGCGCCATCCGCGTGTACCCACCTTACTAGAGTGTAACTCTGGTTTAAGGGGGGAGAGACTCGCGCGAGCAAAAACCGATTTGGCTCACGCTCATCACGCTCTGACGAAGAGGTCATTGCGTTTGATGCCGATATCGATAACATCGATATCGAAGAAGATGATTCCAGTGAGAGTGCGGAAGCCCTCACTGAAGAAAAGATTGATGTTGCTGCAGTGCACTCACAGCACACTGAAGCTAACGAGTCATCAGATGAGTTCATACTGGCTCGTGAAACGGTAGTCCGTTTTGCGGAAGACTCCATCGCCGAAGCGGTGGATAAGCAAAAGCAAAACGCTGACAAGAATGGAAGGGCAAACACTCTTTTATTTAATAAAGGTGACTTATTCCTACTGTCTACGGTTAATCTACCAAAGCATGTAGTGTCTAACTTGGGTAGCAGTAAACTACTACCCAAGTACATTGGCCCATTTCGTGTATTGCACCGCCTAGGCAATGCATACACGATCGAGTTGCCACGTAAGATGCGAACGCATCCCACGTTTTACGTTGGTCGGCTTAAGCCGTACCATCAGTACGCTGCTTCTTCCGATGAAGAACGCCCTTGCGCTCAAGCATCTCGCAGAGAGCCTTGTGCTCCCGATGGTGGGCATCAAAAAGGGTCTGAAGAGCAGTTATCTCAGCCCGAGACCGATCAACAATCCCACGAGCTACCCTTAGCTCGTCACGAAGAGATGTCAGAGATCTCTCGTTCTCAAGCTGAGCAAAGGCAAACTCAGCTCGATGCTTCGAGGCAGTGTCCGCCATTTGGAGACGCCTATTCCGCTCATGCTCGAGATCGTCGCGTAACCCTTGCGTTACGCGATCAAAGAAGCTCTCGGGAACACACCGATCCACATGATCGTGTGGAGAGCGTCTTTCCTCCTCCTCCACCTCCATTAGAGGACTCTCGCGGTGGCCAGCGCTATCTAGTTGAGCAGCTGTTGAACCACCGCGACGTGAACGGACGTCGGACGAGTTATCTCGTCCGGTGGCGCGGCTATCCCCCGTCCTGGGATTCTTGGGAGCCCCGCTCCCAATTGATGGTTGACGTACTGGGTCGAATTGAGCAGTACGACGCGGCACATCCTGTGCCGCAGAAGGACCGCCGGAGAAAGTCTTCCCGGCACGGTCGTAAAGGGATTTCAGGTTGTCAATCGCTTCGTACATCTCAGTAGAGATACGTACGCGCCACCACGGGCTATTAGGGAGGTAAGACTCCTTAGGTGCTCGTGCAGAGTTGTTCACAAACATGGGCACGAGTCTCCTCAAGAGAGGCAGGGTAATCCTTTCTCCCTTGACAGACGATGCAGCTTGTAGCGTGCACCTGTCGGGGTTCGCTCTTCAAACTTATCACGAGCTTTGATAAGTTTGTCGTTCCAAGCGTCACGACCTACATCCTCAAGGTTATGGATGTAGGCATTCCACGCTTGAAGTAGTAATGGACCATCACGTTTGTGATTCCCACTGTACCATCGATGTCTAAAGAAAGCATCGATGAAGAATTCATGTTCAGCGCGATAGTTTTTCGCACTGGGATCAAGGTGATGGATTCTTGATGAATCGAACGACCGTGTTCGATAACGATCACTCGTCGTCGCCGACAAGTGATCCATGACTGATTTAGGAGGCATCCATGCCTTCCTTTCTGGAGCGAGACGCAAGACATTGCGGTCCCGCTCTTCCTGCGACGTGCCGACAGAAGTACTGGCACCTCGCTGTGAAGTGGTGTCCATTGGAGAAACGACACCACTATTAGCGCCCGAGTCTCGCGACCTCGAGCGCCTTCGCTTCGGCGATGGTTCATCTGACTCATCAGATGAACCAAAGATGCTGCGACGCAAAGCATCGTCCATGCCACGCTTGGCAGGCGGCTTGGATATGATCGCCGTCGATACGGATCAGTCTTCCGTATCAGGAGAGTACGAGACACCGAGCTCGTACTCTGTGAAGACACGAGTGTCTTCATGACCAGCGCCTGCATCACCAGGTGATACAGGCTGAGTCGATTCAGCAACCGATGGGACATCAGTTGCTGTAGTTTCTGCTTCGGCGTCCGCACAGAGACGTGCAGACGCGCTCTCGGCGGCCTTGTTCGCGCATCGCATGGGCTTGTTTACCATGCGATGAGATGTTGGAAAGTGGACTCGGACCAACAAGTGCAAACCCTGTCCCAAATGATTTGGGACGAGTATCCATTTAGTCAATCAGTCACTAAAGTGACTGATGGTTAAGGGGGGGTGATGTAACGGGGTGAATCGTTACATAACAATTTATAAGCAATTCTTAATAGAATATAACTATAAGAGTTGTATTCTCCGAATGTTGTCATAAGGACAAATATTCTGTAGCACTTACGAGTAGTTCCTAATTGGTTGATATAAGCCATTATATCAACCAACGAAGACGCGCCACGACAGACGCACGCAATGAGTGGTGAGCAGATAGTTGATATGCACATTTGTATTCAGACATAGTTAGATGAGGATGAATAAATAGCGGTTTATTAACAGACATTAACTATGATAAATACAGTTCTACTTTTTACTTTAACCAAGTACCCGCTTCTTCTCACCGTCTTCCTCTGCACGTACGAGTGTACGTGAAGTTACGAGGCACCGCCTTATTCCGTCATCAGAAGAAGCTTGTACTGTCACAAGTACAAGCTTCAGGGTGCCCCGTTACAGGTGGCGTTTGGAGTTTGACGAAGAACCAGCGTTGGATGCAGGTGGCGTCATGCGCGAATGGTATACGACGCATTTTGCCGAGCTAGTGTTTTGACATTCGAAACACTTGCAAGCATAGCGAGGGAAGAGCGAAGTTAATAGATTAACGTGAGCTCAGACTCTCATTTTGATCAAGATGATCACTTGGCCTTCTTGGGGTTTGCTAGACGGCTCGTGGGTCGAGCGGTTCCGAAAAGCGTTTGGCGCCAGCGCGCTTTTCTTGCGCTGCCATTCTTCCCTGGGCACACCGATCTCCTTTGTCGGCCAGTAATTTTTGTCGATAAATTTGATATTGGTGTGTCGATAGCTGAAACAACTAACGATGCTAAACCGTAGTGTCCAGACTTTACAGCGACTATTGTTGTGGAAGGCTGTATGGATATCGTGGGGCTCGTTGAACGTGGCGCTGATATCGACTGTGGTACGAGAATTGCTCGCGTCACTTAGACGCTATCTTGAAGTACCGTGTGCTAAGAAGCGTGAGTGGCAACCTGCTGTCGTTCATGTACGGCGCTGTACGACGTGGTGGCCTGGGGAGGCTCAAGGTGTTATTTTTTTTACTGCCACGACCTTTAATCGCGTATGTGTGGAATGCTATCGATTGACGCGGACGACTAGAAGAAACAAGCGGACTGTAAGTTCTGTTCACATAACTTCCCGCGAAACGCGGGGTCGAGAGTATTCTGTGGCTATGAACAGCAGTGAAGGGACTGGGGGGCGAGGGCTGCGTTTTCTTGTGCTGTTCACGGCATGCACTGGTAATGCCAACGTAGGGGGTCGACGATTGATCGGTAGCAAGGGTAATGTAAGACTTCTTTCTCAATAGTGCCTTCTTTTGCCGGCAGGACTACCTTTCACAGCTATTCCGAACTCGCATAGCTGTTTCAACCGTCTAAATCTACCGATCGACAGCTCGGAGGAAGTGCTAGTGGAGCACGGGCATCTGATTGTAACAGATGGTCATTATAGGTTTCACTATCGAGTGAGCGGCACGCTGCGGGTCGAACTAATTATTTAGCAGAAGCAAGGAGAGGAAATAATGCGTGAGATGTGCACAAGATAGACGCCGGAAAAATTTGCCAGCTACGCGATGGGTTCTTGGGTGTCAATGGAATAGAGGAGCCAAGAGCCGTTATGCGTAGAAAAAACGTTGTGAACGGGCAAGTCCGATCGATTATGAAGAGCTTAAAAATCACTCTGCCAAGTTACAGGACACTCACGGTCCAAAGCGCTTGCTTTTCCCACTATGCCCGCCGGATTCAAGCGACCTTAATCATTTGAACGCTGCAATGGTCCCGTAAAAAAGCGTGTGAGGGTGTCTCCGTTGGCAGAGCTCGAGGAATTCTTGCTGGATAACGTTGTGGCCAACACGAAGACCGGTGCTGTTGCTGTTCGCCTATCGAAGACCGTTCTATTGAAGCTGTTTGAACAAGACGCGACGGTCCAGTATCTCACCTCCGACCACACAAACTGGGTCTATATTGTGCCACGATGGTACTGGCATATCTTCGAGCACGCCAAGCCTGAGGAGCTTCGTTCAGCAGCTGTAACGGAGTCGCCTGTGACCTGGTCTGCCATGTTCCAGCAGGCGTGGGAAGCACACCCAAGGGATCATGACACTATCGTGATGTTGGCAGACGAACGAAGCTTCCGCGGTTCCAGCAGCTATGCGGCGAAATTGGAAGTTACCGATATTCTGGCAGGACATTTGAAGCCCAAAAGACGTATCCGCGGGGATTGAGACACGCTATCCAGCACATGCAGATCATTGTAAGGGATCCTGCCACGCGGCAGACAAGACTCACTGGAGGTCTCGTGAACTGGTACGAGAATAGAGACCACTACATTGGGCCACATACTGACGACGAACGTGAGGGGATGGTGTGCTCTCCGATCGTGGCCTTGTCACTAGGAGCTACTAGGCGCTTTGTGTTTACAAAGAGGACCTCAAAGAATGCTCTAAACGATGACGTGGCTGTAGCGCGAATGGAGTTGCAGGTTGGAGATGGCGATTTGATGGTCATGGGTGGCACGACGCAAAGAACGCACAAACATGCGGTTCCCAAGATGGCTAGATGTAGTGAGGCGAGGATTAGTGTCACGTTGCGCTGCTTCCAGTAGGTGCTTTATCTTTTTGCCTGTTTGATCATGTATGCATGACGTATGCGCAGCTACGCATAGTGATTGTTGCTTCATGGCCTTTCGGGACGCGCCTTTGAAACCTGGTACAGTAGCAAGTTTAGGAGAGTGTTAAGTGCGATATTCGACCGTTTAACCGGGAACGAGGTCGAGGAGTTATCGCTGAAGACAAATACTTCATTACTGTTGAAGTGGAGAAGAAAATTGTTAAGGGACCAAACAAGTTCAAGCGGTACAGCGTCGAAACCTTCTTCCATCTTTTACGGACAGCATACCTTCATGTCGCGTTGACAATCGTTTGAACGGGTGGTGGAAACCTAGGTTCGGTACGATGCAGATGGAGAGCAACCATTGAATGTTTGTTTCTTGCTAGCTTAAGGTACGAGATTTCAATAGCTAGTCTTGGTTCCAAGAATACGGTCTTTTGTTAGCCGCAAATGATCATGACGCTACACGATCGGTTGTGCCGAAGGTCTCAGATAGGCAGACAGCTGATGTAACGGGGCACCCTGAAGCTTGTACTTGTGACAGTACAAGCTACTTATTCTGATGACAGAATAAGGCGGTGCCTCGTAACTTCACGTACACTCGTACGTGCAGAGGAAGACGGTAAGAAGAAGCGAGTACTTGGTTAAAGTAAAAAGTAGAACTGTATTTATAATATTAATGTCTGCAATAAATCACTATTTATCTTCATCTAACTATGTCTAAATACAAATGTGTAAATCAGTTATCTGCTCACCACTCATTGCGTGCGTCTGTCGTGGCGCGTCTTCGTTGGTTGATATAATGGCCTATATCAACCAATCAGGAACTACTCGTAAGTGCTACAGAATATTTGTCCTTATGACAGTATTCTGAGAATATAACTCTTATAGTTATATTCTGTTAACAATTTCTTATAAATTGTTATGTAACGATTCACCCCGTTACATCACCCCCCCTTAACCATCAGTCACTTTAGTGACTGATTGACTAAATGGATACTCGTCCCAAATCATTTGGGACAGGGTTTGCACTTGTTGGTCCGAGTCCACTTTCCAACATCTCATCGCATGGTAAACAAGCCCATGCGATGCGCGAACAAGGCCGCCGAGAGCGCGTCTGCACGTCTCTGTGCGGACGCCGAAGCAGAAACAACAGCAACTGATGTCTCATCGGTTGCTGAAGCGACCCAGCCTGTGTCACTTGGTGATGCAGGCGCTGGTCATGAAGACACTCGTGTCTTCACAGAGGACGAGCTCGGTGTCTCGTACTCTCCTGATACGGATGACGGATCCGTATCGACGGCGATCGAATCCAAGCCGCCTGCCAAGCGTGGCATGGACGATGCTTTGCGTCGCAGCATCTTTGGTTCATCTAATAAATCAGATGAACCATCGCCGAAGCGAAGGCGCTCGAGGTCGCGAGACTCGGGCGCTAACAGTGGTGTCGGTTCTCCTATGGACACCACTTCACAGCGAGGTGCCAGTACTTCTGTCGGCACATCGCAGGAAGAGCGGGACCGCAATGTCTTGCGTCTCGCTCCAGAAAGGAAGGCATGGATGCCTCCTAAATCAGTCATGGATCACTTGTCGGCGACGACGAGTGATCGTTATTGAACACGATTGTTCGATTCGTCAAGGATCCATCACCTTGACCCCAGTGCGAAAAACTATCGCGCTGAACATGAATTCTTCATCGATGCTTTCTTTAGACATCGATGGTACAGTGGGAATCACAAGGGTGATGGTCCATTACTACTTCAAGCGTGGAACGCCTACATCCATAACCTTGAGGATGTAGGTCGTGACGCTTGGAACGACAAACTTATCAAAGCTCGTGATAAGTTTGAAAAGCGAACCCCGACAGGTGCACGCTACAAGCTGCATCTTCTGTCAAGGGAGAAAGGATTACCCTGCCTCTCTTGAGGAGACTCGTGCCCATGTTTGTGAACAACTCTGCACGAGCACCTAAGGAGTCTTACCTCCCTAATAGCCCGTGGTGGCGCGTACGTATCTCTACTGAGATGTACGAAGCGATTGACAACCTGAAATCCCTTTACGACCGTGCCGGGAAGACTTTCTCCGGTGGTCCTTCTGCGGCACAGGATGTGCCGCGTCGTACTGCTCAATTCGACCCAGTACGTCGATCATCAATTGGGAGCGGGGCTCCCAAGAATCCCAGGACGGGGGATAGCCGCGCCACCGGACGAGATAACTCGTCCGACGTCCGTTCACGTCGCGGTGGTTCAACAGCTGCTCAACTAGATAGCGCTGGCCACCGCGAGAGTCCTCTAATGGAGGTGGAGGAGGAGGAAAGACGCTCTCCACACGATCATGTGGATCGGTGTGTTCCCGAGAGCTTCTTTGATCGCGTAACGCAAGGGTTACGCGACGATCTCGAGCATGAGCGGAATAGGCGTCTCCAAATGGCGGACACTGCCTCGAAGCATCGAGCTGAGTTTGCCTTTGCTCAGCTTGAGAACGAGAGATCTCTGACATCTCTTCGTGACGAGCTAAGGGTAGCTCGTGGGATTGCTGATCGGTCTCGGGATGAGATAGCTGCTCTTCAGACCCTTTTTGATGCCCACCATCGGGAGCACAAGGCTCTCTGCGAGATGCTTGAGCGCAAGGGCGTTCTTCATCGGAAGAAGCAGCGTACTGATGGTACGGCTTAAGCCGACCAACGTAAAACGTGGGATGCGTTCGCATCTTACGTGGCAACTCGATCGTGTATGCATTGCCTAGGCGGTGCAATACACGAAATGGGCCAATGTACTTGGGTAGTAGTTTACTGCTACCCAAGTTAGACACTACATGCTTTGGTAGATTAACCGTAGACAGTAGGACTAAGTCACCTTTATTAAATAAAAGAGTGTTTGCCCTTCCATTCTTGTCAGCGTTTTGCTTTTGCTTATCCACCGCTTCGGCGATGGAGTCTTCCGCAAAACGGACTACCGTTTCACGAGCCAGTATGAACTCATCTGATGACTCGTTAGCTTCAGTGCGCTGTGAGTGCACTGCAGCAACATCAATCTTTTCTTCAGTGAGGGCTTCTGCACTCTCACTGGCATCATCTTCTGGATGATCAGATGTTGACATCTTCAAGCGCGTTCCGAGTGATTTGAACACGGAACGCCAGAAATCAGCAGTGAATCGTGGATCTCTGTCTGATACGAGTTCACGGGGCAACCCATGAAGTCGGAAGATGGTGTCAATAAAGACACAAGCACAGCCACTTGCCGTGATTGTCTCTGGTACAGCCACAAGGTGTACCATTTTGCTGAATCTGTCAACAAATACGAGAATACCCGTATTCCCGCGTGCGTCTTTGGGTAACCCGAAGACGAAATCCATTGAGATGGATTCCCAGCACTCAGCCGGAACCGGTAGAGGCTGTAAAGGTGCACGCAGTGAAGGACTTGACTTCACTCGTTGACAGACTTCGCATGCGCGAACATACTTTCGCACAAACTGATACTGGCGGGGCCAGTAAAAGTCTCGACTTACCGTGAGATATGTTTTCTCTCGGCCACGATGTCCTCCTATAGGAGCATCGTGATACTCGAACATGATCCGCAAACGCAGATCAGTATCATCTGGAATGACAACACGTGGTGTGTCACCAGAAACGGCTGTATAATACAGTAAACCGTTGCGAGCAGTGTATCGATTTGATGCAGATCGATACGCAGACGATAATCCTTTCAACGATTCTCGAGATGGTTGGGAGAGATGTGTCAACAACTTCACTATCTCACCATCTTGGGCGTATGCCCGCCTCACATCATCATGTAAACGTTGAAGATGGGACTGAGGACGTCATAACCGCTACAGTGACTGTCTCACTGTTGGGTTTCACGACTGCTTCAAAGTCGGGACGACGTGAGAGTGCATCAGCGACGACATTAAGTCGTTCTGGTTTGTACTCGACCGTAAAGTTGTATTCCGCAAAGAATGACAACCACCGCGCCATTAGTTGTGAAAGGTGCGGGCTGTTCACTGCCGTGCGTAATGACGCATGGTCAGTGTAAACAACGAAGGGTCTATCTCCTAATAGATTGACTCTGAACTTCGCGAGTGCATACTTCATGGAAAGGAGTTCCTTGTCATGCACTGGATAGTTCCGCTCAGCTGGTTGCAGCTGACGCGAACGATAGCAGACGACGCGTTCAAAGCCTTCAAGATCGTACTGCATTAATGCACAGCCGATTGCGAAATCGCTGGCATCACAGACCACATGAAATGGCCTGTCCTGGTCGGCTATTGCTAGGATTGGGGATTGTATCAAGCTCTGCTTGATACCCTCAAAGGAGCGCTGACATTCAGCGTTCCATAACCACCTCTCGTTCTTTTTCAACAAACGAGAGAGGTGCACAGTCATCTCGGCGTAATTTCGTGAATACTTGTGCAAATACGCCGCTAGCCCAAGGAATTTTCGAAGACCTTTGACATCAACCGGCACAGGCCAGTCGGTGATCGCCTTGATCTTTTCGGGATCAGGACTTACACCGTTCTTACCAACGATGCACCCAAGAAGTGGTATTTTGCTTGCTGCAAATATACATTACTTGAGATTGGCATACAATTGATGCTTTCGCATGATTGTAAGAACCTGTCGGATGTGGTATCTGTGAACATCAACGTCCGACTTTCCATCCGACTTTCCATCAAGCCCGACTATGGATGAACACGTCATCGAAATAACTCGGCGCGAATTCTCGTACTGGTCTCAACAGATGTGATACACATCTGTTGAACGTGGCAGGGGCATTACTAAGCCCTTGTGGCATTACTAGCCATTCTTAGAGCATGCCGCTAGGCGTGCTAACTGCGGTATAGGGTATATCCCGTTCCCGCATAAGGATTTGATAGAAGCCATCCATCAAATCCATGGACGAAAAGATGGTGCTCTTTGACATACCATCAATGATTACGTCCTTCCTCGGTATCGGCGTCTGAGCCGGTACCGTTGCAGCGTTCAATTTGTTGAACGCGTGCACTATCCGCCACCCTCCTGTTGCTTTTCGCACACAGAAGGTCGGAGAGCTATGTGGGGAAGTTGATTCCCTCACATGGCCCGCAGCTAAACGATCGGCAAAGAACTTGTCGATCGCAAGTACTTGTTCACGAGGCAGTGGCCACTGCTTCATGACACAGTACTTCGAGCCTGGTTTAACCTCGACCTCGTGTCGAATACCTTTATCCTTCGGTAATTCGCACGGAACAGTTTCAGGAATACATCCTTGAATATAACCAAATCTTTATAAAGAGGATTTGTCTTGAGCGATTCCCACGATTGGGAGTCATATCGCTCAACTCGTGTCTTTTCATCTAGGACACTCTCGTCCATCGATGAACTACTGAGAACTCTCTCGTTCTCAGTAAACAATATTGCTGACCTTATGTCGGCTACACACTCGTCGTCAGCGACGAGTATGCAGATCTGCTTGACTTTGCCACTACGCAGATCACGCAAGAACCTTTTATGTTCGAGCGTTGGCAACTGAGTGATCTCCGAAGTCAACTTCGGAGGCGCAATCAGATCAAGTGTATAAGCGCCTACGCTTGACCCGTTATTGACTATGACATTCAATGTCTCTGTCATTTCCTGGGGACTTATTCCCTCAGGCTTCGAAGGACTTATTCCTTCGGCTTCCCGGGGACTTATTCCCGCGGGTTTCGGGGAACTTATTTCCGCCGTATTTGTAATATCGGGACTTATTCCCTTTACTTCCTCTAGCTGGGGTTGCGCAACCACAGCGAGATCCTCTACGAAAGACTCTCCAGTCGATCTAGGATTATCGTTTCGCTTAACCTGAGCGATCGATTGTTTCTCTTCTAGATGTTCCCCGCTAGGGATACATCTTTGTCCCAGTCCACCCGACTTATTCGAGTGGTGGACCTTCGGCGCAGCCTGTGTTTCCTCACAGCCGCCGGAACTTTGCTCCGAAGTGTAGCCGTTTGGTACACTAAGGTTTTGTGCAGTCGTACTAACGACCGTACCACAAGTGAGGCCATCGCACTCACTCGTAGTACATCCACACGCTTGTGGACGCTCCAAAACGTTCATCAGATGGCCATCTGATGAACAAGCGGCAGGCATCGTTACTGTCCGATGTTGCCAGTTTACCCGTGGTTCGTACCTTCTGAGCCACGGTATTCCAAGGATGACATCAAATTTGTCATCCAAATCCAATACGATAAATTCATCGTCATATTGGGTATCTTCAAGCGTATAGTGGATCTTCACTATACGCTTCATGACGGTTACGGATGCGCCTGTCGCAAGACGTACCGTCATCCTCGTAGGAGGTGTGTCACATTCACTGAATTTAAAGTGACCATCTTCTAGCGATTGGCGTCGCACAAAATTGTTGGACGCCCCACAATCGACTAGAGCTCGAAGGGACAACTTATTCGTCACTTCGAGTTTCAAGGTAATGAGTGAGACCTCATTACCTAGAGCAGCAACGCACAACGTTTGTGTGTTGGAAGCAACCTTCATCAAGAGGCCTACAAATTATCTTGACGTTGCTGGATCAGTAGGGTGCTCCGCACCTACTGATCCTGTCCGTTTTTTGACGGTCCATCCCGTTGTTGCGTCTTTGCACCAACAGCGGACCCGCGTCCCTGCCCCTTTCTCATGGGTGGACGGCCACTACGCCCAGTGTTGCGAGACACTGGACGAGGGGCACTACACTCGTAAGCGTAGTGTCCTGTCTTTTGACATCTATTGCATTTCTGCAACTTCTTGTAGTCTGTAGAGCGAGCCTTCTCGCTCTCTACATAACAGAGTTCCATCGGCTCTGGACCTCCGTTGTCATATCGTCTCGGTTGACGATATGATGTCGAGCTGGCGCGAGCCTGTCTCAGACTGAAGTCTTCCTGCTCCGCAATGGTAATTGCTTGTTCTAGTGAATCTAGTTCAAGCCGGAACAGGTGAGTCGTGACAGGACCATCCGCAAGACCCTGCATGAACACCGAAACCAACGTGTGTTCATCCACCGGATTGAAACTTATACAACTCGTAAGATGTCGTATATGTTGAGCGTAAGAGTGTACATCACGCTTACCCTGTTTGAGCTTCAAGAGTTCAGTTCGAGCCCTGAACTCAGCTCTAGGCGGTTCAAACGTTTGTCTGAGCCGCGACTTGATGACTTCCAACGACCCAAACGCATATGGGTCGTGCAACTTGAGCCCCAGTGCCCAAGTCTTGGCACGTCCTGCCAGATTTGACTGGGCAAATGCAGCTTGAACATCCCCGTCGTCGATGCGATGCGCCCTTATGGCGTCATCCAAATCGACGAACCATCTCAAGAGGGAATCTTCTTCGACTCCCCTATACTTTGAGATGTCAATCTTCAAAGTCTCGGGTCGACGCGAGTGCATCGACCCGCCAGCAGCAGCCTGCTGCTGTCTCAACAGTTCAAACTGTTGAGCACCTTGTTCTCTCAACAACTCTGCTTGTTGAGAACCTTGTTGGTGAAGCAAGGCTACTTTCTCGCGTTCAGCGTCAAGTTCATTTTGAATGAACTTGGCGATAGTAGCATGTTGGGGATCTCTATTGAGAGCCTCTAGCATGACGCTAACAGCATAGATGCCCATGGTCGAACCCATTCGTTCAACCGCATCCCATTCGACATCGCTCAAATGGGAGTAGCCGTCACGCGTAGCGTGAAAGCATTGGTCATCTTCATCATCCAACATATTCATGTTGGATGTGAACGCGGTCCTTGGACGGACTACGAAGTGCTACCAGGTGTAACGGGGCACCCTGAAGCTTGTACTGGTGACAGTACAAGCTACTTATTCTGATGACAGAATAAGGCGGTGCCTCGGAACTTCACGTACACTCGTACGTGCAGAGGAAGACGGTAAGAAGAAGCGAGTACTTGGTTAAAGTAAAAAGTAGAACTGTATTTAGTATAGTTAATGTCTGTCAATAAATCACTATTTATCTTCATCTAACTATGTCTAAATACAAATGTGTAAATCAACTATCTGCTCACCACTCATTGCGTGCGTCTATCGTGGCGCGTCTTCGTTGGTTGATATAATGGCCTATATCAACCAATCAGGAACTACTCGTAAGTGCTACAGAATATTTGTCCTTATGACAGTATTCTGAGAATATAACTCTTATAGTTATATTCTATTAACAATTTCTTATAAATTGTTATGTAACGATTCACCCCGTTACAGCTGACCGATGGGTGCTCGAAATTGATCGGTGAAAACCCTACGTACATTCACACAAGTTAACGCAGTCATTGTAGAAATGCTTCGTCCGCGTGACTTCCATTTGTACCCAGTGATCGCAGGAATGGCACGCGTGACTCCGATTGGACCATCCCAGTAGGCCTGATCTCTGCATAGATGCACCGTAGACGACGTTGTGGCCTAGTCTGCCTCTCAGGCATGCAAGAAGTGGGCAGATAACGCACATCTATACCAAGAGAGTGAAGTTTGTTACGCATGTTGGCGGGGTCTACGTATTGCATCATAACTAAGGCTCCGTCCCGCACAGGATGGGACGGGATTGGCCTATCCTGCCTCCCATCTTGTGCAGGTCGGGATGGGACGCAGGATACTGCGGGACGACATCATTGAACATTTACACTACATTTTTTCGTAATGATTAGATCTGTAGACATATTATCGTATCTGTATGCGTTCGGGGTAATAACAAATAAACAACGCAGTTAGACGTTGAAATTTTTCTCTCTGTGGTCTTTGCTTACCTGCTACAACAAGGGTAGAAGCTCAATGCCTAATCCACTCGAATCTAATCGGTGCTGCTGATGACAGACTCATGCACGAAGAACTCTATTGTGATTACCATCACGTTTATAAACGTGGTGGTAACGACATTAATAAGAGTTACCACATGTATCAACATCAATACAGTAAAATTATGGTGAGTAGCGACGTCTTGAAGCATGGTTATTGCCAAAATTTCTAAGTTATTGCGATTGCTCATAGGCGACTTTGACGTCTAGTGGAATCGTCGAACGTCTTGGCGAGGTTTTAAAGCAATCGAGGCACTAGCAAAAGATACTACATGTACAGTGTATAGAAGTTACGAGGCCCCAGTAAGCAAAAGATGTTCACCAGATCGTCGCTTGGGACAACCAAATCCTTTTTAGAAGTACCTATAATGCCTAGATGTATGCCTGGGCAGAAAGGTAAAAAATGACAATGAATACGGAATTTAGCAAGATATTGTGTAAAATAAATGACGCTTAATTTTACGCTCTCACGATTCCCTATGTGATTTTGTGGTCGTAGAAAATTAAAAGAACCTTGACGTTATATGCTATGATAATTACAGAATGCGGGATGTGCAGGACGCGCGGGATGGGACGTTGCGAGACGGAGCCCTAAGCAAAACTCACCTGCGAATAGGGGGTTGCAGAGTGTAACGAGAGAACAATTGCGATGAGATATAGGCCAAGTAAAAACAGTTATTTCATTACTTTCGTAGCCACCATCACCCAGTGGAGCTACACTCGGTGAATTTTGCGACAGAGGATCTCCAGAAATATGAGATGTATCGTGTACTATTTCTTCAGTCCTTGCGCTTGTTCACGTTCATGCATGGTAACGTCCGGGCCAAGCTGCAACAAAACCCCATCGGCGCTGCCATCACCTAGTTTTTTTTTCAGGGCCCACGATAGGAACACGCAATCGAAAGATCTATTTTATCTGTCCAGGACATCTAGCGCCGCTTTGGATTCGTCGCGATGTTTTTCGACTAACTTTGTAAGCTTCGCCAAGTCGTCGCGGTCGACAAAATGTTTCTGAATGAATACCAAATACTCCTTATATTTGTCGTCCGTTAGGTCCATCGTTTCCACCTCACCTTTGGCCATCATAGCATTGTACGGAATTAAGACATCACGAAGAATAGCTCCTACATTGAAATCAAAAGCATCATGCTCTGCATCTTTACTCGTGACCGCGCGTTGCTTAAACAATGGAAGGGTGGATAAAATGGCCCTTGAAGAGTAAATTTTACTATTAGCACCATCCTAGGTCAAAAGTCTCATTATCAGCACCAGTCCCAAAAGCAGCACCAGCCATTAATAAATTTAGTGTAGATAACACTACTTGGTGCTCCCAATTATGAGAACTAAAAAATGCTATAAGCGCCGTGAGTTTAAGCGCTCAGTAACAGCAAGATTCATCAAGGTCTCACCCTAAAGGGTGGCGGTTGATTTACATGCAAGTTACGGTGCCACATAATTGGCTCATGGACTAATATTTTAAGGCCGATGTTGCTGCAACTAGATTTTTAAAAAGATTAATGTTTCAATCAGAACTGGTAGTGCGGGGTTAAAAATAGTGGTGGCAACAGCAAGACGCATGTGTGCCCACAAGATCGATGCCTATGGGAGGTTCGTTTGACGAAAAGAAATCGGATGGGTGCAGCTTCAGAGCAATACATTCCACCCTGTATGATATTCACGCCGACGTGTGCCTGGCAATCGCCAAACCAATTTCTCGGCAAATAAGATGACTTCACATCTATGTTCATACGATACAGCATGGTTTTGTGCGACCCTGAAGAGTAAGAGTGAAACGATATTGACTACAATAAGCGAGACAATAGATTTAGCACACATGTATCTTACAAGCTAATTACGACATCGTGACTAAAGTTAACGTTATGTTATCCTTGTCCTTGTTGTTAGCGCGATCGATTAGTAACTGATGGCTGATTTCTTTGAAAGCGAAGAATTTGCGTGACTAAAAGCTTCAAGCACAACACTTTGCAGCGATCAGTCGTTCCGTGCTATTAGCGCACCACAGAGTCCAGCACTAGAGAAGATATCATTAGACCATGACCTTGAGTTCGTTGTTCCTTTTTCATTTCACATAGAACCTACATAACACACAATACACACCACAACATATGCAGCATTAATGTTAAGCGTGCAGCCAATTAACATTGATACGTACAGCAGCTCTTCTCCAATTTCTCTTATCCAGAATCAGCATAGCACGCTCGGCACTCTAGGTATATTTCCACTTTTCTGTTCAAGAGTAGTGGTGCTGTTTAGTGGCTCGTTCCTTTCTAAGGCTCACAAAACACTCAATAGCCCACGTACAAATTCATCGAAACCACTTTTGTACGTCCCGCGATGTGGTCACAAAACGGCATAGCGTACTCACTAATCCTACAATGACAACAAATACAAAATACCATACACACAATGTGTAAGCCTAGCTCATACTATATTCACACGTCCTCGTAATATATAAATTACCTGAATTGACTTGTTGGACGTTAAGGCCGTGACTACATCCCGCGCAACCATCACACCAAAGACATTTTCAAAATGACGCGCGTCTCGGCCTTGCATACATAATATTTTGAGTACAAAGCAAAAACAGCATCAGTCAATTTGTGAGCTACCATAACCACAAGGTCTTATTGTTTTTGACAATTGTTGTCTGCCGTCATCATAAATTAGTCCTGCTTCATTCCGCGAGCCAGTCGAGTGTGTTGTTCTAGCTTGGATGTATCAAGCGCACCATCCGGTCGTATGGGACCTAAACAGCATAATAAACAGTTTCAGTATGAGCAAGTCTCCAAATTTAGCGCATTCATGGCCTCAAAACTTTCGCGGAATCGCACATCGGGCCAAAGCCTTACCTTCTCTTGTTACGTAATTTCCGACATCGGAGGTAGTTTAGCACACATGTATACTCTGCGTCACTTTCTAGCCAAACCATGCGCAAAAAATAGAGTAGCAAACCACACATGTTCCTGTCGTCACGCATGTCTTGCTCACGCATCGCACGCCGCGTCGAATCGCAAAGCGCATTTCCCAACTATCTACTTCTTTTAAACGCGCTAGTCGCAGGCTCACTTTGAAATGTAATTCAGTGTGATCTACACTGATTTATTTATAGGCTGGTGCTGCTTTTAGGACTGGTGCTGTTAATGAGACTTTTGACCTAGGATGGGGCTGGTACTGAGACTGACTCGTTCCTGAACCATTGCGCTATCTTCACCAACGGTGAAATGATACCTTCCATGGAAAAGAACGCCTGATCTTCGCTCAGTTCCCTGTCGTGATAGGCAGCTCTCAGCTGTCTTGTGGCGGTCGTGAGCTCATCTGCGTCGGTGCTAGATGTTAGGGTCTCCAGTCCGTAAAGGCCCGAGGCTAGATCAGCGAAAACGAGAAACACAACACTCGCAATGAGTACAAAATGGAGAAATAAACGCATGGCGTTTGTTGAAGTATTTCGGACGGGAGGCTGGCCAATGGAGCGCAAAACTACAAATGAACAGACTATAAGAAGGTCCGGGCGAGACACGTTAGACGCTTCTCATTGTTGTGAAGTTTTCCCTTATCCAACGACGGCCAGACGACGACCAGACGACGGCCAGACGACGACCAGACGACGGCCAGACGACGACCAGACGACGGCCAGACGACGACCAGACGACGGCCAGACACAGCAAAGTAGTTTTTGCACGTGGTCGCACTGCCAGGCGTATCGCATGGACAGACGACGTCTAGACGACTAAGCATATCGGTTTCTAGCCACATCATTACCTTAGTATAGGTGGCGACGAAAAGTCTGCAAGAAAATTTGTACCATATATTTTATAATGTGCGCTTTTGTGCCAGCATGTCCGGGTGTTATCGACTTCCAAACGACATGATAACCTATTAGGATGGACATTCAGGCCAGATGGAAGCTGGGAAGCCTGGACACCTACGAAGCCTCGACGCCTGACGCCGGATCAGGTTCTCGGACCATTCGGAATTCCCGACAGCTGTGCGCCCAGTTTTGTCTTGGCGCATCCGTGCTTGACTCAATTTAAACCAGTCGTGCTGCTTTAATGTCGAAGCCAATTGGCGCGGATAGTGCTCAGCCTGTCCCATCGATCTACTTGCGTGTCCAGTATGCTGCCGATGGAAACCCGGTGGATACTCGGCGTTATGTTGACGTGGTCGTCATCATTCAAGAAATCGACAGGTACGCGTCCCGAAGAGCCACTCGAGATTTGCAGTTGAAAAAAGCACTAATAGAACCTTCTTAGATGCTTCTTCCAGCTTGAGCTAACAAGCTTGTAGTGGGTAGGTCTTGCACGCAACCTAAACAAAAATATTGGGCTGAGATTCTTGATCAAATATTACAGGAACAAGTAGTGGAGATTTGGAACCAGGTAATGTATCCGTAAACCGCCCCTCTCGTTGGGGATCGGGCCTTGATACCAGCTAGAAAACTCACCAGTAAAAGAAGTAACATTGCATGTAAAAGGCAAAAGGAGGAACATTCGTAGATGGCAGTCTTACATATGTGAACGCGAATCGTTTGGTAGTAGCTGTCGCTATCCATGCTGCCAATGAGGGTGACCCAGGCATGCATACATGGGCTCTCCACTATCTCCGCTGTCATGCCTAGATCATTTAATGTTCGGCGCGCCAGTGGTTCTTGCTCTCTCCAAATAAGCAACTCTTCCGACGCACACGCACCCAGACCTGCCAGCTTGATGGACTTTGTAATAGACTGCAATCGCTCTACAAGCGGTCGTTCCCACACATGTAGGGCGTGGGCGAGAAAACGATCAACATGCAAGCGTGGGAAAGGAATAGCACCAGGTTCACGCTCCGTCTTTGAGTTTATGCCGTGGAAATCCGATCCACCCATCTGATAAAGCAAGCACGTACAAACATACGTTCCGCGACAATGCTGCCTACTTTGTGTCGTTACGTACTCTTAGCAACTCGGATTCCTTCGTCAAGGCGCCATACATGTCAATTTTATTCTTATCATGAAAAACCTCGATGCTGTAACGGGGCACCCTGAAGCTTGTACTGGTGACAGTACAAGCTACTTATTCTGTTGACAGAATAAGGCGGTGCCTCGGAACTTCACGTACACTGGTACGTGCAGAGGAAGACGGTAAGAAGAAGCGAGTACTTAGCTTGAGTAAAAAGTAGAACTGTATTTAGCATAGTTAATGTCTGTCAATAAATCACTATTTATCTTCATCTAACTATGTCTAAATACAAATGTGTAAATCAGTTATCTGCTCACCACTCATTGCGTGCGTCTGTCGTGGCGCGTCTTCGTTGGTTGATATAATGGCCTATATCAACCAATTAGGAACTACTCGTAAGTGCTACAGAATATTTGTCCTTATGACAATATTCTGAGAATATAACTCTTATAGTTATATTCTATTAACAATTTCTTATAAATTGTTATGTAACGATTCACCCCGTTACATCACCCCCCCCCAACCATCAGTCACTTTAGTGACTGATTGACTAAATGGATACTCGTCCCAAATCATTTGGGACAGGGTTTGCACTTGTTGGTCCGAGTCCACTTTCCAACATCGCATCGCATGGTCAACAAGCCCATGCGATGCGCGAGCAAGGCCGCCGAGAGCGCGTCCGCACGTCACTGTGCGGACGCCGAAGCAGAAACCACAGCAACTGATGTCTCATCGGTTTGTGAAGCGACTCAGCCTGTGTCACTTGGTGATGCAGGCGCTGGTCATGAAGACACTCATGTCTTCACAGAGTACGAGCTCGGTGTCTCGTACTCTCCTGATACGGAAGACGGATCCGTATCGACGGCGATCGAATCCAAGCCGCCTGCCAAGCGTGGCATGGACGATGCTTTGCGTCGCAGCATCTTTGGTTCATCTGATGAGTCAGATGAACCATCGCCGAAGCGAAGGCGCTCGAGGTCGCGAGACTCGGGCGCTAACAGTGGTGTCGGTTCTCCTATGGACACCACTTCACAGCGAGGTGCCAGTACTTCTGTCGGCACGACGCAGGAAGAGCGGGACCGCAATGTCTTGCGTCTCGCTCCCGAGAAGAAAGCATGGCTGCCTCCAAAATCCGTCATGGATCACTTGTCGGCGACGACGAGTGATCGTTATCGAACACGGTCGTTCGATTCATCAAGGATCCATCACCTTGATCCCAGTGCGAAAAACTATCGCGCTGAACATGAATTCTTCATCGATGCTTTCTTTAGACATCGATGGTACAGTGGGAATCACAAGGGTGATGGTCCATTACTACTTCAAGCGTGGAATGCCTACATCCATAACCTTGAGGATGTAGGTCGTGACGCTTGGAATGACAAACTTATCAAAGCTCGTGATAAGTTTGAAAAGCGAACCCCGACAGGTGCACGCTACAAGCTGCATCGTCTGTCAAGGGAGAAAGGATTACCCTGCCTCTCTTGAGGAGACTCGTGCCCATGTTTGTGAACAACTCTGCACGAGCACCTAAGGAGTCTTACCTCCCTAATAGCCCGTGGTGGCGCGTACGTATCTCTATTGAGATGTACGAAGGGATTGACAACCTGAAATCCCTTTACGACCGTGCCGGGAAGACTTTCTCCGGTGGTCCTTCTGCGGCACAGGATGTGCCGCGTCGTACTGCTCAATTCGACCCAGTACGTCGATCATCAGTTGGGAGCGGGGCTCCCAAGAATCCCAGGACGGGGGATAGCCGCGCCACCGGACGAGATAACTCGTCCGACGTCCGTTCACGTCGCGGTGGTTCAACAGCTGCTCAACTAGATAGCGCTGGCCACCGCGAGAGTCCTCTAATGGAGGTGGAGGAGGAGGAAAGACGCTCTCCACACGATCATGTGGATCGGTGTGTTCCCGAGAGCTTCTTTGATCGCGTAACGCAAGGGTTACGCGACGATCTCGGACATGAGCGGAATAGGCGTCTCCAAATGGCGGACACTGCCTCGAAGCATCGAGCTGAGTTTGCCTTTGCTCAGCTTGAGAACGAGAGATCTCTGACATCTCTTCGTGACGAGCTAAGGGTAGCTCGTGGGATTGTTGATCGGTCTCGGGATGAGATAGCTGCTCTTCAGACCCTTGTCGGAGCCCACCATCGGGAGCACAAGGCTCTCTGCGAGATGCTTGAGCGCAAGGGCGTTCTTCATCGGAAGAAGCAGCGTACTGATGGTACGGCTTAAGCCGACCAACGTAAAACGTGGGATGCGTTCGCATCTTACGTGGTAACTCGATCGTGTATGCATTGCCTAGGCAGTGTAATACACGAAATGGGCCGATGTACTTGGGTAGTAGTTTACTGCTACCCAAGTTAGTCACTACATGCTTTGGTAGATTAACCGTAGACAGTAGGACTAAGTCACCTTTATTAAATAAAAGAGTGTTTGCCCTTCCATTCTTGTCAGCGTTTTGCTTTTGCTTATCCACCGATTCGGCGATGGAGTCTTGCACAAAACGGACTACCGTTTCACGAGCCAGTATGAACTCATCTGATGACTCGTTAGCTTCAGTGCGCTGTGAGTGCACTGCAGCGACATCAATCGTTTCTTCAGTGAGGGCTTCTGCACTCTCACTGGCATCATCTTCTTTGATATCGATGTTATCGATATCGGCCTCAAGCGCAATGACCTCTTCGTCAGAGCGTGATGAGCGTGAACCAAATCGGTTTTTGCTCGCGCGAGTCCCTCCCCCCCTTAACCAGAGTTACACTCTAGTAAGGTGGGTACACGCGGATGGCGTAATCCATTCACGTAAAACGGCGTATGTGTCGTGGACGCATGCACCGAGTTGTTAATGGCAAACTCTACCATTGGCAAAAACTCACTCCAACTCGTAAAAGAGTGTACGTATCCTCGAAGTATCTCTTCAAGGACACGATTGGCACGTTCCGTCTGACCATCTGACTCTGGATGATCAGATGTCGACATCTTCAAGCGCGTTCCGAGTGATTTGAACACGGAACGCCAGAAATCAGCAGTGAATCGTGGATCTCTGTCTGATACGAGTTCACGGGGCAACCCATGAAGTCGGAAGATGGTGTCAATAAAGACACAAGCACAGCCACTTTCCGTGATTGTCTCTGGTACAGCCACAAGGTGTACCATTTTGCTGAATCTGTCAACAAATACGAGAATACCCGTATTCCCGCGTGCGTCTTTGGGTAACCCGAAGACGAAATCCATTGAGATGGATTCCCAGCACTCAGCCGGAACCGGTAGAGGCTGTAAAGGTGCACGCAGTGAAGGAATTGACTTCACTCGTTGACAGACTTCGCATGCGCGAACATACTTTCGCACAAACTGATACTGGCGGGGCCAGTAAAAGTCTCGACTTACCGTGAGATATGTTTTCTCTCGGCCACGATGTCCTCCTATAGGATCATCGTGATACTCGAACATGATCCGCAAACGCAGATCAGTATCATCTGGGATGACAACACGTGGTTTGTCACCAGAAACGGATGTATAATACAGTAAACCGTTGCGAGCAGTGTATCGATTTGATGCAGATCGATACGCAGACGATAATCCTTTCAACGATTCTCGAGATGGTTGGGAGAGATGTGTCAACAACTTCACAATCTCACCATCTTGGGCGTATGCCCGCCTCACATCATCATGTAAACGTTGAAGATGGGACTGAGGACGTCATAACCGCTACAGTGACTGTCTCACTGTTGGGTTTCACGACTGTTTCAAAGTCGGGACGACGTGAGAGCGCATCAGCGACGACATTAAGTCGTCCTGGTTTGTACTCTACCGTAAAGTTGTATTCTGCAAAGAATGACAATCACCGCGCCATTCTTTGTGAAAGGTGCGGGCTGTTCACTGCCGTGCGTAATGACGCATGGTCAGTGTAAACAATGAAGGGTCTATCTCCTAATAGATTGACTCTGAACTTCGCGAGTGCATACTTCATGGAAAGGAGTTCCTTGTCATGCACTGGATAGTTCCGCTCAGCTGGTTGCAGCTGACGCGACTGATAGCAGACGACGCGTTCAACGCCTTCAAGATCGTACTGCATTCATGCACAGCCGATTGCGAAATCGCTGGCATCACAGACCACATGAAATGGCCAGTCCTGATCGGCTATTGCTAGGACTGGGGATTGTATCAAGCTCAGCTTGATACCCTCAAAGGAGCGCTGACATCCAGCGTTCCATAACCACCTCTCGTTCTTTTTCAACAAACAAGAGAGGTGCACAGTCATCTCGGCGTAATTTCGTGAATACTTATGCAAATACGCCGCCAGCCCAAGGAATTTTCGAAGACCTTTGACATCAACCGGCACAGGCCAGTCGGTGATCGCCTTGATCTTTTCGGGATCAGGACGCACACCGTTCTTACCAACGATGCACCCAAGAAGTGGTATTTCGCTTGCTGCATATATACACTTCTTCATACTTTCATACAATTGATGCTTTCGCATGATTGTAAGAACTTGTCGGACGTGGTACCTGTGAACCTCAACGTCCGACTTTCCATCCATAGCCCGACTATGGATGAATACGTCATCGAAATAACTCGGCGCGAATTCTCGTACTGGTCTCAACAGATGTGATACACATCTGTTGAACGTGGCAGGGGCATTACTAAGCCCTTGTGGCATTACTAGCCATTCTTAGAGCATGCCGCTAGGCGTGCTCACTGCGGTATAGGGTATATTCCGTTCTCGCATAAGGATTTGATAGAAGCCATCCATCAAATCCATGGACGAAAAGATGGTACTCTTTGACATACCATCAATGATTACGTCCTTCCTCGGTATCGGCGTCTGAGCCGGTACCGTTGCAGCATTCAACTTGTTAAATGCATGCACAATCCGCCACCCTCCTGTTGCTTTTCGCACACAGAAGGTCGGAGAGCTATGTGGGGAAGTTGATTCCCTCACATGGCCCGCAGCTAAACGATCGGCAAAGAACTTGTCGATCGCAAGTACTTGTTCACGAGGCAGTGGCCACTGCTTCATGACACAGTACTTCGAGCCTGGTTTAAGCTCGACCTCATGTCGAATACCTTTATCCTTCGGTAATTCGCACGGAACAGTTTCAGGAATACATCCTTGAATATAACCAAATCTTTATAAAGAGGATTTGTCTTGAGCGATTCCCACGATTGGGAGTCATATCGCTCAATTCGTGTCTTTTCATCTAGGACACTCTCGTCCATCGATGAACTACTGAGAACTCTCTCGTTCTCAGTAAACAATATTGCTGACCTTATGTCGGCTACACACTCGTCGTCAGCGACGAGTACGCAGATCTGCTTGACTTTGCCACTACGCAGATCACGCAAGAACCTTTTATGTTCAAGCGTTGGCAACTGAGTGATCTCTGAAGTCAACTTCGGAGGCGCAATCAGATCAAGTGTATAAGCGCCTACGCTTGACCCGTTATTGACTATGACATTCAATGTCTCTGTCATTTCCTGGGGACTTATTCCCTCAGGCTTCGAAGGACTTATTCCTTCGGCTTCCCTGAGACTTATTCCCGCGGGTTTCGGGGAACTTATTTCCGCCGTATTTGTAATATCGGGACTTATTCCCTTAACTTCATCTACGAAAGACTCTCCAGTCGATCTAGGATTATCGTTTCGCTTAACCTGAGCGATCGATGGTTTCTCTTCTAGATGTTCCCCGCTAGTCATACATCTTTGTCCCGGTCCACTCGACTTATTTGAGTGGTGGACCTTCGGTGCCGCCTGTGTTTCCTCACAGCCGCCGGAACTTTGCTCCGAAGTGTAACCGTTTGTCACACTAAGGTTTTGTGCAGTCGTACTAACGACCGTACCACAAGTGAGGCCATCGCACTCACTCGTAGTACATCCACACGCTTGTGGACGCTCCAAAACGCTCATCAGGTGGCCATCTGATGAACAAGCGGCAGGCATCGTTACTGTCCGATGTTGCCAGTTTACTCGTGGTCGTACCTTCTGAGCCACGGTATTCCAAGGATGACATCAAATTTGTCATCCAAATCCAATACGATAAAGTCATCGTCATATTGGGTATCTTCTAGCGTATAGTGGGTCTTCACTATACGCTTCATGACGGTTACGGATGCGCCTGTCGCAAGACGTACCGTCATCCTCGTAGGAGGTGTGTCACATTCACTGAATTTAAATTGACCATCTTCTAGCGATTGGCGTCGCACAAAATTGTTGGACGCCCCACAATCGACTAGAGCTCGAAGGGACAACTTATTTGTCACTTCGAGTTTCAAGGTAATGAGTGAGATCTCATTACCTAGAGCAGCAACGCACAATGTTTGTGTGTCGGGAGCAACCTTCATCAAGAGGCCTACAAATTATCTTGACGTTGCTGGACCAGTAGGGTGCTCCGCACCTACTGATCCTGTCCGTTTTTTGACGGTCCATCCCGTTGTTGCGTCTTTGCACCAACAGCGGACCCGCGTCCCTGCCCCTTTCTCATGGGTGGACGGTCACTACGCCCAGTGTTGCGAGACACTGGACGAGGGGCACTACACTTGTAAGCGTAGTGTCCTGTCTTTTGACATCTATTGCATTTATGCAACTTCTTGTAGTCTGTAGAGCGAGCCTTCTCGCTCTCTACATAACAGAGTTCCATCGGCTCTGGACCTCCGCTGTCATACCGTCTCGGTTGACGATATGATGTCGAGCTGGCGCGAGCCTGTCTCAGGCTGAAGCCTTCCTGTTTCGCAATGGAAATGGATTGTTCTAGTGAATCTAGTTCAAGTCGGAACAGGTGAGTCTTGACGGGACCATCCGCAAGACCCTGCATGAACACCGAAACCAACGTGTGTTTATCCACCGGATTGGAACTTATACAACTCGTGAGATGTCGTATATGTTGCGCGTAAGCGTGCACATCACGCTTACCTTGTCTGAGCTTCAAGAGTTCGATTCGAGCTCTGAACTCAGCTCTAGGCGGTTCAAACGTTTGTCTGAGCCGCGACTTGAAGACTTCTAACGACCCAAACGCATACGGGTGGTGCAACTTAAGCCCCAGTGACCAAGTCTTGGCACGTCCTGCCAGATTTGACTGGACAAATGTAGCTTGCATTTCCCCGTCGTCGATGCGATGCGCCCTTATGGCGTCATCCAATTCGACGAACCATCTCAAGAGGGAGTCCTCTTTGACTCCCCTATACTTGGAGATGTCAATCTTCAAGGTTTCGAATCGACGCGAGTGCATCGACCCGCCTGCAGCAGCCTGCTGCTGTCTCAACAGTTTAAACTGTTGAGCACCCTGTTCTCTCAACAACTCTGCTTGTTGAGAACCTTGTTGGTGAAGCAAGGCTACTTCTCGCGTTCAGCGTCAAGTTCATTTTGAATGAACTTGGCGATAGTAGCATGTTGGGCATCTCTATTGAGAGCCTCTAGCATGACGCTAACAGCATGGATGCCCATGGTTGAGCCCATCCGTTCAACCGCATCCCATTCGACATTGCTCAAATGGGAGTAGCCGGCACGTATGACGTGAAAGCTTTGGTCATCTTCATCATCCAACATATTCATGTTAGATGTGAACGTGGTCCTTGGACGGACTGCGAAGTGCTACCAGGTGTAACGGGGCACCCTGAAGCTTGTACTGGTGACAGTACAAGCTACTTATTCTGATGACAGAATAAGGCGGTGCCTCGGAACTTCACGTACACTGGTACTTGCAGAGGAAGACGGTAAGAAGAAGCGAGTACTTAGCTTGAGTAAAAAGTAGAACTGTATTTAGCATAGTTAATGTCTGTCAATAAATCACTATTTATCTTCATCTAACTATGTCTAAATACAAATGTGTAAATCAACTATCTGCTCACCACTCATTGCGTGCGTCTGTCGTGGCGCGTCTTCGTTGGTTGATATAATGGCTTATATCAACCAATTAGGAACTACTCGTAAGTGCTACAGAATATTTGTCCTTATGACAATATTCTGAGAATATAACTCTTATAGTTATATTCTATTAAGAATTGCTTATAAATTGTTATGTAACGATTCACCCCGTTACAGATGCCCTGAAGAGCACCCGTCAAACAACACCTCAGTACATGTCTTTCGACCGTAAAGTAGCATCGTGTGCGTGACGTACCTGAATGCCTAGCTTATCTAGTTCTGGAACTAGCGTCATCGGGTTCCGTTACGAGCAAAGAGGTTACATGAGAGGACTGCGGTCTAGCAACTAGCGATCTCAAAGATGTTTGTATAAGTCTACCTTGCAGCACCAGGGGTGGGCAAGAACAGAGACTCTGCCGGCGCTAGCAATAAGCTTGATAGCTTCTTCAGGTGGGAAGTTCTCGCCCCGGTACAAAACAACAAGCAACAATTACGTATTGCTTGAAATCGGTATTATAAGTATTTTAAATTATTTTTTAATTTTCCATAATTATTATACCCTTTTCAGGAAAACTTGGAGTATCATACTGTAATGTTTCATGTTATTTTTTGTAAGGAATATTTAAACCCTGTTTTAACATTTTAATTAATCGAACTCCTCTATTTAATTGTTGTTAAGTAGTCGCGTCTAAATCTGAACATGTTTTAAGTTTCTTTTTAAATTAATAATCTCAAAAAATTAAATGTTTTTAATAAAATATCCAAAATGTTTAGTTGGTTAGCAACTTTACGGGGAGGTTCTGTAAAATTTAAAACTCCTTCATTATTTATTACAGGTTTTTTTATAATTTGTTATGGGTGGAGTAACTGGTTGAATTCGTCACATTATACTTTTTACGGCATCTCCCAGATGGTTTGTTGGTGGAAGGCATGGTTATTCAGCTGTTCACCCGTTACCGATTCCGGTTTCGGCCCCCGGGGGGGTTCGAACCCGCAATCAGCGACTTGGAAGTCAGCTTACTGCGCCACTACACCAGGGGTCCACCCCTTGGGTGGAGTAACTGGTGTAATTACGTCTGTAAAGGAATGCAAATCCGTAATGACGGTTCGAATCCGTCTTTAGCTTTTAAAAAATAATTTTTAAAATATAAATAAATAATTTTTTTGTTATAACAATATTTCAATAATTTATAATAATGAATTTAAAGTAGAAATTATTTTTTGCAAAAAAAAGTTGTTGGTTAGAATCCGATTATCTCCATTGCAAAATTTTATATTTTAAATTATAAAACGGTGGATAAATTTCTTCATTTATTTTTTTGTAAAAAAGACAATTTTTTAGGTGCCCCTTCTCCTGCGATTTCCAGTACTCGTTCCCACTCGAGTTTGATGCCCATCACCTCCTAAAGACGATGCCAATCATTAGTTCTGTCACAAAGTATCGCTGGCAAACCACCATTCCCCCTATCGCACCCACCAACTTCTTGAGCATTCCTTTGCCACGCTTGTACCTCCCCGTACGGATCTTGAGCAGCTGTTCCTCCAATTCGACACTATTCGATCCGGAATAGAAATAGCCCAGGATGTGTAGGTTCTCTCCACCTTTCACTTCAGCACTGATCTCGACACCAGGGAAGACCAAGACGCCCTGTTTCTGCGCTGCACCAATAGCCTCACTCACTCCAGCCATTGTATCATGGTCTGTGAGCGACATAAAAGTCACGCCATTGGCCACAGCCTTGGCAATCACCTCACTGTGCTTAAGCTTGCCATCAATGCAGGTACTACTTGCACGGAACGTTTTTGATCATGAATCCACACGAGCACAGTAACCGATATAAAAAATGAAAGTTCTTCAGCTACAACGGGTGACGGTTTCTGTTCTACACCTGTGCAATTGGAAGTCTCCACAGGCAAAGCCATCTGCATCAAGAGCGTCAACCGCCGCGTGATGGTGATCATTGGACGGGAACATGGCGTCACTTATCGCTCCCAGTGAGGCATCGAGGGTTGTGGTACGAGTGCCAGGTAACGAGCACTTACTGTTGAAGTTTGCCTGCATGTTCACGGGCTTGCGCTTGCTGCTCTTCTTGCCATTCTTTTTCTTCGTCTTGCGGGAGCAGCTCGACGCGGAGACCATCGCGAAGTGCGTGTGTGCCAACAGAGGTATCCGGTTTCGCAGGTTTATTGCGTAATCCTTATTTTTAGTAGTTTAAACTAAATTCAACCATCAATTGTTTTCGTGCCCGACATCGAGGTTTAGAGGGTCACTGTAACGGGGTGAATCGTTACATAACATTTTATGAGCAATTCTTAATAGAATATAACTATAAGAGTTATATTCTCAGAATATATTCTCATGAGGACAAATATTCTGTAGCACTTACGAGTAGTTCCTAATTGGTTGATATAAGCCATTATATCAACCAACGAAGACGCGCCACGACAGACGCACGCAATGAGTGGTGAGCAGATAGTTGATTTACACATTTGTATTTAGACATAGTTAGATGAAGATAAATAGTGATTTATTGACAGACATTAACTATGCTAAATACAGTTCTACTTTTTACTCAAGCTAAGTACTCGCTTCTTCTTACCGTCTTCCTCTGCAAGTACCAGTGTACGTGAAGTTCCGAGGCACCGCCTTATTCTGTCATCAGAATAAGTAGCTTGTACTGTCACCAGTACAAGCTTCAGGGTGCCCCCGTTACACCTGGTAGCACTTCGCAGTCCGTCCAAGGACCACGTTCACATCTAACATGAATATGTTGGATGATGAAGATGACCAAAGCTTTCACGTCATACGTGCCGGCTACTCCCATTTGAGCAATGTCGAATGGGATGCGGTTGAACGGATGGGCTCAACCATGGGCATCCAAGCTGTTAGCGTCATGCTAGAGGCTCTCAATAGAGATGCCCAACATGCTACTATCGCCAAGTTCATTCAAAACGAACTTGACGCTGAACGCGAGAAGTAGCCTTGCTTCACCAACAAGGTTCTCAACAAGCAGAGTTGTTGAGAGAACAGGGTGCTCAACAGTTTGAACTGTTGAGACAGCAGCAGGCTGCTGCTGGTGGGTCGATGCACTCGCGTCGACCCGAAACCTTGAAGATTGACATCTCCAAGTATAAGGGGGTCGAAGAAGACCCCCTCTTGAGATAGTTCGTCAAATTGGATGACGCCATAAGTGCGCGTCGCATCGACGACGGGGAAATGCAAGTTGCATTTGTCCAGTCAAATCTGGCAGGACGTGCCAAGACTTGGGCACTGGGGCTCAAGTTGCACGACCCATATGCGTTGGGGTCGTTGGAAGTCTTCAAGTCGCGGCTCAGACAAACGTTTGAAGCTCCTGGAGCTGAGTTAAGAGCTCGAACCGAACTCTTGAAGCTCAAGCAGGGTAAGCGTGATGTGCACGCTTACGCTCAACATATACGACATCTTACGAGTTGTTTAAGTTCCAACCCGGTAGATGAACACACGTTGGTTTCGGTGTTCATGCAGGGTCTTGCGGATGGTCCCGTCAAGACTCACCTGTTACGACTTGAACTAGATTCACTAGAACAATCCATTTCCATTGCGGAACAGGAAGACTTCAGTCTGAGACAGGCTCGCGCCAGCTCGACATCATATCGTCAACCGAGACGGTATGACAGCGGAGGTCCAGAGCCGATGGAACTCTGTTATGTAGAGAGCGAGAAGGCTCGCTCTACAGGCTACAAGAAGTTGCAGAGATGCAACAGATGTCAAAAGACAGGACACTACGCTTACAAGTGTAGTGCCCCTCGTCCAGTGTCTCGCAACACTGGGCGTAGTGACCGTCCACCCATGAGAAAGGGGCAGGGACGCGGGTCCGCTGTTGGTGCAAAGACGCAACAACGGGATGGACCGTCAAAAAACGGACAGGATCAGTAGGTGCGGAGCACCCTACTGGTCCAGCAACGTCAAGATAATTTGTAGGCCTCTTGATGAAGGTTGCTCCCGACACACAAACATTGTGCGTTGCTGCTCTAGGTAATGAGGTCTCACTCATTACCTTGAAACTCGAAGTGACGAATAAGTTGTCCCTTCGAGCTCTAGTCGATTGTGGGGCGTCCAACAATTTTGTGCGACGCCAATCGCTAGAAGATGGTCACTTTAAATTCAGTGAATGTGACACACCTCCTACGAGGATGACGGTACGTCTTGCGACAGGCGCATCCGTAACCGTCATGAAGCGTATAGTGAAGATCCACTATACGCTAGAAGATACCCAATATGACGATGACTTTATCGTATTGGATTTGGATGACAAATTTGATGTCATCCTTGGAATACCGTGGCTCAGAAGGTACGACCACGAGTAAACTGGCAACATCGGACAGTAACGATGCCTGCCGCTTGTTCATCAGATGGCCACCTGATGAACGTTTTGGAGCGTCCACAAGCGTGTGGATGTACTACGAGTGAGTGCGATGGCCTCACTTGTGGTACGGTCGTTAGTACGACTGCACAAAACCTTAGTGTGACAAACGGTTACACTTCGGAGCAAAGTTCCGGCGGCTGTGAGGAAACACAGGCGGCACCGAAGGTCCACCACTCGAATAAGTCGAGTGGACCGGGACAAAGATGTATGACTAGCGGGGAACATCTAGAAGAGAAACAATCGATCGCTCAGGTTAAGCGAAACGATAATCCTAGATCGACTGGAGAGTCTTTCGTAGAGGATCTCGCTGTGATTGCGCAACCCCAGCTAGAGGAAGTAAAGGGAATAAGTCCTGATATTACAAATACGGCGGAAATAAGTTCCCCGAAACCCGCGGGAATAAGTCCCCGGGAAGCCGAAGGAATAAGTCCTTCGAAGCCTGAGGGAATAAGTCCTCAGGAAATGACAGAGACATTGAATGTCCTAGTCAATAACGGATCAAGCGTAGGCGCTTATACACTTGATCTGATTGCGCCTCCGAAGTTGACTTCGGAGATCACTCAGTTGCCAACGCTTGAACATAAAAGGTTCTTGCGTGATCTGCGTAGTCGCAAAGTCAAGCAGATCTGCGTACTCGTCGCTGACGACGAGTGTGTAGCCGACGTAAGGTCAGCGACAGTGTTCACTGAGAACGAGAGAGTTCTCGGTAGTTCATCTATGGACGAGAGTGTCCTAGATGAAAAGACACGAATTGAGCGATATGACTCCCAATTGTGGGAATCGCTCAAGACAAATCCTCTTTATAAAGATTTGGTTATATTCAAGGATGTATTCCTGAAACTGTTCCGTGCGAATTACCGAAGGATAAAGGTATTCGACATGAGGTCGAGCTTAAACCAGGCTCGAAGTACTGTGTCATGAAGCAGTGGCCACTGCCTCGTGAACAAGTACTTGCGATCGACAAGTTCTTTGCCGATCGTTTAGCTGCGGGCCATGTGAGGGAATCAACTTCCCCACATAGCTCTCCGACCTTCTGTGTGCAAAAAGCAACAGGAGGGTGGCGGATTGTGCATGCATTTAACAAGTTGAATGCTGCAACGGTACCGGCTCAGACGCCGATACCGAGGAAGGACGTAATCATTGATGGTATGTCAAAGAGTACCATCTTTTCGTCCATGGATTTGATGGATGGCTTCTATCAAATCCTTATGCGAGAGAGGGACATACCCTATACCACAGTTAGCACGCCTAGCGGCATGCTCTAAGAATGGCTAGTAATGCCACAAGGGCTTAGTAATGCCCCTGCCACGTTCAACAGATGTGTATCACATCTGTTGAGACTAGTACGAGAATTCGCGCCGAGTTATTTCGATGACGTATTCATCCATAGTCGGGCTATGGATTGAAAGTAGGATGTTGAGGTTCACAGGTACCACGTCCGACAGGTTCTTACAATCATGCGAAAGCATCAATTGTATGAAAGTATGAAGAAGTGTATATATGCAGCAAGCGAAATACCACTTCTCGGATGCATCGTTGGTAAGAACGGTGTGCGTCCTGATCCCGAAAAGATCAAGGCGATCACCGACTGGCCTGTGCCGTTTGATGTCAAAGGTCTTCGAAAATTCCTTGGGCTAGCGGCGTATTTGCATAAGTATTCACGAAATTACGCCGAGATGACTGTGCACCTCTCTCGTTTGTTGAAAAAGAACGAGAGGTGGTTATGGAACGCTGAATGTCAGCGCTCCTTTGATTGTATCAAGCAGAGCTTTATACAATCCCCATTCCTAGCAATAGCCGATCAGGACAGGCCATTTCATGTGGTCTGTGATGCCAGCGATTTTGCAATCGGCTGTGCATGAATGCAGTACGATCTTGAAGGCGTTGAACGCGTCGTCTGATATCAGTCGCGTCAGCTGCAACCAGCTGAGCGGAACTATCCAGTGCATGACAAGGAACTCCTTTCCATGAAGTATGCACTCGCGAAGTTCAGAGTCTATCTATTAGGAGATAGACCCTTCATTGTTTACACTGACCATGCGTCATTACGCACGGCAGTGAACAGCCCGCACCTTTCACAACGAATGGCGCGGTGTTTGTCATTCTTTGCGGAATACAACTTTACGGTAGAGTACAAACCAGGACGACTTAATGTCGTCGCTGATGCGCTCTCACTTCGGCCCGACTTTGAAACAGTCGTGAAACCCAACAGTGAGACAGCCACTGTTGCGGTTATGACGTCCTCAGTCCCATCTTCAACGTTTACATGATGATGTGAGGCAGGCGTACGCCCAAGATGGTGAGATTGTGAAGTTGTTGACACATCTTCACAACCATCTCGAGAATCGTTGAAAGGATTATCGTCTGCGTATCGATCTGCATCAAATCGATACACTGCTCGCAACGGTTTACTGTATTATACATCCGTTTCTGGTGACACACCACGTGTTGTCATTCCAGATGATACTGATCTGCGTTTGCGGATCATGTTCGAGTATCACGATGATCCTATAGGAGGACATCGTGGCCGGGAGAAAACATATCTCACGGTGAGTCGAGACTTTTACTGGCCCCGTCAGTATCAGTTTGTGCGAAAGTATGTTCGCGCATGCGAAGTCTGTCAACGAGTGAAGTCAATTCCTTCACTGCGTGCACCTTTACAGCCTCTACCAGTTCTGGCGGAATGCTGGAAATCTATCTCAATGGATTTCGTCTTCGGGTAACCCAAAGACGC